GAGCTCCTGCAGCCTTGTGCACAAGTACCTGGTGCTCAAAGATGGAAATAAGATTTCCTTAAGTGTTGGAAAGAATTTTGCAGTGTTTGTTTTAACTCAAGAGCCTGCTGGAAGTCACCACAATGAAAGCAAGACTCAAGAAAAGGACTGGCCCTACAGGGATATCCTTGACACTTGGTAGCTTTGATGCAATTTCTTTTAATCTACATGTATTTCCCCCAGTAAATCTGAGCTCTCTGTACCGTAAGTTACTTTATTCTAAGTCCATTGTTTGTGGTCTTGAAAAACCTGCCCAGAGATATTATAAGTCTGTGGTGTTTCTTGATGTGCTTGCTTTAAGGAGAAAAATAAAATGGCAGCTTCATCTCCAGACCTGAAGATCTTCTTGTATGGTGTGGCGTGTCTATATAATAACATGTGAACACCTACTTCTGCAGGATATGCTTAAAATTAAGACCACCTTGTACTGAATGATTTCTCCTATGAGCTGAGTGATTTTGAATGGCAAGCTGTACTAATCAATAGGAATTGCTTAGAGTTTGTGGAAGGTGAATCTGGTCCAAGATTCTTAGGAGAAAAATTACAAATTACTTAGGCCATGTGGCTTTATCAAAGGCAAGTGGATGGACATCAGTAGGAGTCCTCTTTCAGCTTGAATTATCTGTGGTTCATGGGAAAAATGAATAGATATTTATAGATGTAGCATAGATATATCATAGATATATTCATAGATATATCATAGATATACAGAACAGTAGCTTGTATTGTGTGTTATATGTGCACTGACATACACAATTTGTGTTCTGCTTCTCACTCAAAGTTTGAAGTGCTAGCTTCTTTGACTGTTGTGGAAAATGTGCCAAAACACTAGTGAAACTTCTCCCCAGCACATTTAGTAGCAGGCTGCTGTGAAGAAAGCAAAAATAGCTTGGGTGTAGCACAGTGCTAATCTGGCTATATTGCTCCCAAAATGAAGTTAGCTTGAGTACAGCCTGCAAGGCTACAGGGAGCTTGGATATATTTCCACTGTATTGCAAGTGCAGAGAGAGATGGTACCCAAAAGAAAAGAGAATTTATATGCTGTATATCAGTAGATATCCTATAAACATCACAAAGGGCAAATTACTCAAGAACTTTAATCAAGTGACTGAGTTTGTTCGGATAAAAAACCTTTCAGCTCTATTTTCACTCTGCTCCCATGTTTGTGTGATTGCTTCAATTTGCATTTATGGGCCTAACATATTGAAGCATCAGCACTCATATCTAAAGTCAGCAGTGTTAAGACTGTGCACTAGGAATTTTTATTTAATCAAAATACTAATTTATATATATATATATAAAAGACAGTGGATTGATGATAGAATACCAAGGAGCAAGCAGGCCACTTATTTTTTTTAAAATTTCTTAAAGCATTACATTCATCTCTCCCTGTTTTTTGTGGTTGTTTGTTTTTTCTTTTTTGTTATTATCAATTTATTGCTTTTACCTTTAGAGTGAAGGCAAAAATAAACCCCAAATCTTTCATGGCTTTTCTCAAGACAGCAGCAGTCATTGCTAAGATGGATTTGGAGGTGTTTTTTAAATTTGTTTTAAACAACTGATAAAATAGGGGATGAAATAAGACACTTTCAAAATCTCTTAAAAAGACAGGAAGGAATAGTCTGGATGATCAGCTATGCAATGCAGCATTGCCCTCTTCCATTTTACTGCAGTGAGGACTGCTCATGCAAGTTCCATGTAGTAGTGATTCATCTGTTATGTGAAACTGTAGAAGAGATACTGTTTTTGTTTTAACCAAGCAACATGCACAGAAAGTAAGGCAACAAGGTGCTTGGGGCATAGTCCAAATATAAAAGTAAAGGCAACCAAAGCATAGTGCACTAACTGGGCAAAACCATCTCTGATTCAAGAAGCCCTTGCAGTTAAGTGGCAGAGATATGAGGACGAGCTACACAGGGAAACCTGCCAGCACTGTTCCCTGCACTCAGAAATGGTGAGTCATCACGAAATAAAAGTATCATCCGTAGCAATAGGTGCCAAGATTTATGATGAGCTGTTTTGTCTGTCTTTTGTGCCAAGAACAAAGTCTCGTTTTTCTCAATTGTCACTGGGTCCATTCAATAGCTTTTTGAGCTGATTAAATTTATAATATTTGATTTACTTCCCTTTCCCCCGTTATTTTTTCTTAATCGACTGTAGATAGTAATAGCCATCTTGCACACCGAGAAACCATTTATTTGTAGGAATGCTGCTTGTCCCTGAAGTGAGATTCCACTGGTCTCGGTAGTGGATTTTTGAGGCCAGTCAGACTGAACATGGAATATACGAGTGTTTCCACTCATCTGAAATGAGAATAGGCACTGGTTGAGCAGAATACTTGTAGCTGATCTGTCATGCAATGAGTTTGTATGCAATGGTTATGTTTTAGTACCATAGTACTTAAAAAACTTGTGAACAGCCATAGTTCATTCTGTTGCCATAATGCTCAACCAAGCCATCTCCAACATGGAGAGTTTCTAGCAGAGTTTTTCTAGTCTTTGAAGTGCATCAAGTGCTAGTCTAGCCCTCTAAAGCACTGTGTGTGAGCATAGCACAAAAGAAACACAAAGTACTACATTTTTCAACAGTTCCACTCCATCAAATCAAATCCAATATCCTCACCTTTGAGTGTTTTATGGGGAAAAAAAAAAAAAAAAAAAAAAAAAAAAAGAGCAGTGAACATGAGAGGGATTGCATGAGAGTCCAGAATCATGTCTTTATCCCAATAGAAAGCCTGTATATCATCTCCTGCTTCATGCATATTACAATTAGCACAGCTAAAGCAAAGTAGCTACAGAATTGAGAATTGTCACCTTACCACGAACCTCCCACAAAGTGCAGGTCATACAAGGAAAGATACAGCAGGACCTAGTTTTGTTTCTCTTTTTGTCTTGAGCAAATCAGACTCAGCTGTCTCAGAAACTTAAAAGGCTTCATATATTTCTGGGTTCTAGCTGATGGCAAGCTGAACATGAGTCATGGTATGCCATGGCAGACAAAAAGGCCAGCTGTGGTTTGGGGTGCCTCAGGCATGGCACTGCCAGCTGGTCAACGGAAGGGATTGCCCTGCTCTGCTCTGCCTGGTGCAGCCTCACCTCGAGCACTGCGTGCAGGTTTGGACACCAAAATATAAGCACATAAAACTATCACAGTGCATCCAAAGGAGGGCTATGAAGACATTGTAGGGTCTGGAGGGCCAAGCACATGAGGAGCAGCTGAGGTCCCTTGGTTTGCTCAGCCCAGAGCAGAGCAGGCCGAGGGGAGGCCTCATGGCGGCCTGCAGCTCCCTCACGAGGGGAGCGGAGGGGCAGGCACTGAGCTCTGCTCTCTGGGGACAGCGACAGGACCCAAGGGAACGGCATGGAGCTGGGTCAGGGGAGGGTCAGGCCGGGTGTTAGAGAAATGTTCTGCACCCAGAGGTGGCCAGGCACTGAAATGGGCTCCGCAGGTCATGGCCCCGAGCCTGATGGCATTCAAAAAACATTTGAACAGCACTCTTAGATAAATGGCTTAATTCTTAGGTTACCCTGCATGGAGCCAAGAGTAGGACTCGGTGATCCTTATGGCTCCCTTCTAATTCAGGATATTCTGTGATTCTATGATTCTATGGTCTTTGGATGGCTATCAGTACTTAATCTCAAATATGCTGCAGCAGGGAGTACAAAAGGCTAGTGCATATTTCATGTAAAGAAAACAGGAGTTATGAGTTAACCTGTGAAATGAGTGGTGCCCAAAACTCTGGAGCATGTGAAATAATAAAAAAATCCACTCTGTGGTGGAAAGGCCTTTAGGTTTGTAGCTGATTGTTGCTTGGGGGGATTTCCTACTTAAGTCTGTAATTTTACAGATTTTTTATAGGCACTCAGGGAGCTAAACATGTTTATTCAAGTGATGAAGAAGATAATATGAAAAGGTGAGGAAATTATTTTCCTCAATGAAGACATTTTGCTTTTTTTGAATGACATGCCTGTTTCATAGTTTTGAGATATGTACATCATGATCTTGAGAGTACATTGGTATCTACTGCTACATTTTGCTCCTAATTACTTTACCATTGTTTGAAGAGCTCTGAAAAAATCTTAGAAAATTCCTGTTACTGTCTTTGGATCTGTGTCAGATTCTACAGCCAGCAGTAAATTTTTGTGATTTGGGATAATGCACAAGCATTATAAAAGGCTATATTCAGACTTAAAAAAGGAGTAAGGTGAGGATGGGCATGGGGAAATTCTTAACATCAAAGACAACAATCTGCCATCTACCTGCAGGAAACAGAAAGTATCTTACCAAGTTAAAATCAGAGAGAAGGGTATTCATTTTAGGTTTATAGAGTTGAAATGGAGTTACTTTATGGCTAAGACTTGTTAATAAAAGTACATATATATTGATTGGAGCTGATAATGTTGGTTGTTGTTGATAATTGTTCTTGCAGTTGATAATGTTGGTAATGTGGAGTAATGTTTGCAATAGGAATCAGGGGATTTTAATATTTAGTCAGTTCTGCCGTTGATTTTGTCAGGTTTTGTCAGCACTGCACCTCCATATCTCTTAGGATAAAAGATGTGCAATAAATTTGTTGGTAAAGATCTAGTAGATTGTAAAAATTTGCAGGTAAAATTGCATAATCACAAGATTATGATTATTTGTATCATTATTCTACAACAAAATACTTAAAATTAATATGATATTTTTTCTTAACGAATAAGGAATTTTACTTTTTATTGAAAAGTTAATTTGCACTGGGGGTAAATATTTCTTGTTCCCCCAAAGGAAATATTAATTTATTTTTCAAGGTTTCATTAAACCATGTCATGTCTTCAGCTTGTCTCATTTATGGTCAGTAGCTAAATTATTTATGTCACTTCTTCTATTGACATAACACCACTGCACATAAAATTAAAGTCAAAGTCCTTAAGTGGTTCTACTGTAATTTTTGTATTGATTACTTCTGGGATTTTTTGCAGGTCTGTCTCTTCTGGCATAAATTATTGTCAGTAGGATTAACAAAAGTAACAGCAGAGAGCAAGGACTCGGCCATGCACTCTCCAAGCGGTTGTTGTACAGATTGCAGTCAGAGCATCCAGGGGAAATTTGATGCAAAGCAGTTACCAGTCCTTGCCAGGCCATTACCAACCTGCCCTCATAATGGAAGTAAGTATGTGAATATCAAAGGTACAGGGGCCCTTCTCCCTGTCTGTTGTCCTGAAGAGGTTTCAAAAATTTGGTTAAAGAAAAAAATAACAAAGAAAAACTGGAAATTGTTACAAGGATGTAGAGAGGAGGAGAAATAAAGGTTTTGCACATGTGCTCAGGCAGCCTGGATTTGCAGGCAGGAGTCAACAGGATGAGAGAGGAGAGATTTATGGGTAAAATGTTAAACTGGGATTAAGACACACAGGTTCATCTTTTGGCAAAAGCTTCAAGAGTGCAGTCAGCTCATACACTCTGTGCTCGGGGTGCTTCTGCAAATTCGAGATAATAAAGTTCCTCTTCGCTCACCCTTGGCTGGTATTGTCTGCAAGGAGACTAAGCTTTTGGAGAGGGAGGCTGTGTTTCTCTGTATATTGTGTGATGCCATGCACAGTGTTGTCCAGATTCTAGAATTGTTAAATCAGTGTTACCACCTTTATATGCTCAACACTTAGACACATTTTGGATCCGTAATTTATCATCATTTTCTGGGATGGAAGGGACTATTACCAAATTTTTTTTCTTCCTGAATAGAGAGATTTGATTAATTTTTTTCTTTTCTCTTCAAGGTTAGCACTTTGCATTATATATATTTCAAGGCAGGGAAATTGCTCACTTGACAGCTGTGGATAAAACATGAAATTTTAGATAATGTTTTAAATTCACCAGGGACAAACCTGCTTCATGGTAATTTATAAATTAAACTAAATTCAAATATTGTCTCCTGGCATGTAACTGTAATTAGAAAACTCTCTTGAAGAGGAAAGAGATGACTGATATACAAATTATTTTGCAGCTAAAAATAGGAATGTCTAGAGTTTGGGTGATACCAGACAAGTCATGTGTTGAACAAGCTTTCTTCATTTTGCACTTAAAATTTTTTCCCAGCTCACCAGCTTGACTATCTTCAATCTTGCAATGTAAAAGTAAGTGGGGAGGGAGTCATACTATGAAATGTTGAGTTATTTGTGACTGCAGTTTCTTCAGAGAAATTGATTTCAGGCTTCCCTCTTTTTCCACCTCCCTTGTTTCTCTGTTACCTGTCTTTCTAATACCTGAAGGAGAAAAGAAAAAAATGCTTAGAGAAAAGCTTTTCATACTAGGGAGTTTTTACTTCAAAGCTGTTCTATCTTTCTTTTCTTGGAAAAAGAAAAGAAAGGAGCTGGTGTTCCTTACGATAGCACCAGCCCACTCACTCTTGTGGGAGGAACATGCAAATGGTATGTGAGGCCTTGCAGGAGCTTTGCTTAGAAAGAAGGGCTGAGAGCCTCTGAACTGCCCTGCACTGCTGAGCATCTGAGTTTTGGCTTGCTTTGCTCACTTTTCTTCTCAATTCTTGTCTTTCCAATATATTTAATTCAGCGCACGACAATCCTATTTGCATTCTTGCTGTTCGCCTGCTCTGCCAGTTTATTTCATTTGAATAGTTGCTTACCTGTCACTAGCTGCAACATTTTTAGGCATGGGGGAGATGGAGATTGGAGATATTTGTGTATTTTTTGTTACAAGATTTGTAGCTGCTTTCAGGCTCATGAACAAGGGCTACACTGCCAAGTAAATGCCACTGGCTTTTCCAGTTTTACAGTTCTGATAAAAAATAAAAAAATCTCTGCAGTGAGAGAATCGTTCATTCAAGCACATGAATCAAAAAATAAAAGAAACAGAAATATCCTTTGCAAGTAGGAGTGTGTGGTAAAATATTGCCAGCAGATTACACTTTTATTCGATTTCTTTGTTAGGGGCATGTCAGATTTTTTTTTTACCTAAATCTGCTAAAATGGTATATGGAAGGACAACATATTTTCTTCACCTTTTACCTCAGAGCAGTAAACATTGTTGCTGGAGACCATTAAAACCTAGTTGTGTCAGCTCCATTTCTAACTCTGGCACTCTTTCAGGGTTAAGCAGCACTGATATAATATGAGATGACATCAGTCAAAAACTGCTCCAAATTCAGGTACAGCAGGCTCCAGGGCAACCTGTATTCAGTAGGTTTCTAATTCTGACCTGTAATTGCAGGCATTTTCAGAAGCTTAATGCTTTCCAACTGAGTTTTCCTTACTCCACTATAACACAGAAGCAAATCTACAGCTGTGTTGCAGCTAAAGGAAATGAGACACATGTGGGAAAGTACCTGTCTTCTGTAAGCAAAAATTTGTAAAATTTGTATAGTCTTCAACATGGGAGAGGTGGTACTTGGTATTTTAGAAGATAACCTTTGGAAGGATGCACAATGACTCATATACCCTTTGCTTCTGAAGCAACTTTGCTTCATACACATTTGCATAACTGAAATCTTCTACCACCTATAACTATAACTGGGCAAATAATAATGATAACTAAGTCATTCACCCAAAAAGACGGTTATCTTCTCGCTAAAACTATTCTGCAGGGTTGTGGTAGTTATGAAGGAATGCTGATGAAAGCAAGTGTTAGCATTTTGCATTTTAAACGGATGTTTTACATATGTTTCAAAAGTAAAATAACTAAATGGAAAAGGACATTAAAACATGCAAAAACATGTCAGAAAAAACATAGTTTTCTAAACAAAACTGTTTCAAGGTTTCTAATTCAGAAAGTTAATCTAAAATCTCTTTTTGAAATTGTAATTATTATAGGAGTGCAAATGTTCAGTTTTATCTAAGACCAGTGGGAGCAGACTGCAACTGTGACATGGTAGAAAAATAGATAAGATAAACACTTTGGCACGTGTAATTAGAAACAGAAAAAATATGTTGGAACAAAGATAGCAAAGTCACTTCTATTCACTATAAGGGTTCAAATCAGAAGAATGTGTACTTCAAATATAAGCTATGTTTAGACCTGCTGGTAGCCTTACTAGCTGTGTGAAGTATAACTTCTTGCTGGAAGATGAAAAACATGTCAAACCTCCCACCACCAAACACTTCACCATCACTTTAATGAATCCTCAGTTGCCAAGCATTGCTGATGTTTTACTGTACAACATTCCTGACAAATTATGTTAGTCTCACTTTATTAAGCTTTTTACTTCCCTTGCCAATATGCAGGAGCTACCTCAAAAGGTTCTTTTTTGTTGTTTTTGTTTCAATACATTTGCAAGGTAGTTTCTGTTCTCTGAATGTTGTGGATTTTTTGTTACATGGGGATGGATAGGCCTTTTAATATTTTAGCAGAAATTGTTCCAATAAACTCCTTTCCCTAACATATGGTATCTGAACTATGATCATAGGCAAAAGAGCTGATAAAACACCTGGGTTTGAACTTTTTCTATTTTTGTAACATAGCTGTCAGTGTTTTCTTTTCTGCATCTTGCCTTAAGAAAAATCCTCTATTTCATCATTGGAACTGTTTTGTCCTTAGAAAACAGAGCTTTGCCTATTGTGTTGAAGGGAGAACCTGGAGGACAAATGATTCTGCTTGGTTTAATATACAGCGGTCAATACCACCAGTCGTTACTAGCAGATTTGCTTCACCTATGGAAACCCAAAGCGTGATTAGGTCCTTGTCATTTTTGAGTAATGTAGTAGGAAAGTAGTAATGAAGATAAGCACCTGTTGAATCAATTGCAGAGAGGTACAACTGAAACCATACAGCTCTTTTCCAGACTTCAGATGATGAGGTTATTTGCAGGCTAATTAGCCTTGTGGGGACTTTAGGCTGAATGGAGGACACAAACAAGGCCTGTTTGAGGCCTGCCTGTGGCATACTGATTGCAGACAAGTGTGTGCAACTGCAGGACACAGCTCTGCTGGGGCAGGAAGAGAGGTTGCTTCCAGGTGGTGCTGGGGTTCAGTTCCCAGCTACAGGTAGGAGGAGTGCTTGTGTTCAACTTCCTAGCAGTGCTGCCAGGTCTAGAACAATGTTATAATTTTCTTTATGTTATTCGGTCCCTTACCTTCTCTGTTGTCAAGGTTTGGGCTTAAAAGGAGGAAAAGAGACGTGAAAGTGAGCTCTTACGAGTGAGGAGGTGATAACGCCCAGTAAGTACCCCATTGGATTGTTCTGTATGATGCAGTTGGTTTTCCAGCTTTATATCTCTTCATTGTGTTAAGAGTCTCTGAGGCACAAGAAAAGTTGATGTATTTGCTGTAGTATAAAGGCAGTCTATGCTGTCTTGGATAAAGGAGCAATTGAAGGGTGAGTAGATGTATTACAACTTGCCCTCCTTTAGCTGATAAAGATTAAAAAGCAGGGAAAACCCAACAGCATGATCATCAGCTGCCTAAATTCTTTCGGCTTGCAATCAGCTTGGGGAATCTGTTAAAGCCTTTGTTGTGTAAGTTTAACATTGCTCAGATGTATCTGACGATTTCACCATCATATTCCTGAAACTGCTATCTGAACTCAGTCATAGACAATAGACAACATGCACATCTGCGTGCAGAGTCAAGGAGTGATCATGACTTCTTAGACCAGATCCTGTAAGTAGATATGTGTCGTCCCCTTGGAAGCATGCCTCAGCAGTTCTTCTTGTGAAGTCAAGACCAGAAAGCAGAGCTGGCTTTACAGGGAAGGTTCTGTTCGGGGTTCATCTAGATAAGGGGCTCTGACTGATGCTCTCAACTCATAGCGTTTTAAAGAAGTGTCAAGCATGGACATGTTTGCAACTGGTGTGATGAGGGTGCTGCTGGCTAGCAAGCTGTCCCATCTATGTAACATTCATCTGTAGACAGACATATTTCAAGGTATAGGCAGGGTAGAGGTCTAGCACTTGCACATCTCAAAACTTTGTGCTGCTTCTCCTGGGCTGAATGTACTTTCTTCTCTCCATCTCTTCTTACACACTAACACTTTTAGAATCTGCTATATTATCAGGTACTACAGAAACTGGAAAATTTAGGAAATGTTTTCTTTTAGCAGTTGACTGCTGTAAGTCGTGGAGGGCCCAAAAAAAAAAAAAAACTAATACGCATCTGCAGGTAGCGTACATTTTAGGGATTTTTTCCAAAAGTGACATCAGTGACTGCTTTCTTCAAGGA